GGGCCGTTTAAGCACAATGTATCCAAGCTACAATGTACTTGATAACGATACTCCGGTGGGAGATCCATCGGGATTGATATTCCGGTGTGGGGGATCAAGCTTACAATAGAATCGATAAGAATACCCCGGTGTACTCCGGTGGGATATCTGTCGATATTGATACTTCAGTGTTAGATCAAGATACAATGGACTCGATAGTGATACTCCGGTGGGAGATTTAAATGGAATCGATCAGAAATATAAAAATAGATAGTATGAGTATTAAAGTGGAGAGAGATTGAAGAAGCTTACCACCAGAAAAGGTGAAAGCTAAAAAGAAAAAAAAATTTTTATTACCCAAAATATCTCTTTTTTTTATTCAGTTTTGCAAACTCCTCACAAAAATCCTTCAAAGATTCGAATGAAGATGAAAAAATTTAATTTTTTTTTTTGAATCTATACGCAAGATTTTTGAAATTTTTTTCCCCAAAATTCCAATTTAAATCTTTTATGATTTTTGTATAAAAAAAATCTTTTAATCACATATTTATTTTTTTAATTTTGTGTGAAAACAAATCTTTAAATTCTAAATTATTTTTTGTTAAATTTTAGTTTTATAAAAGCTCTTAAACAAATCATTATTTTTCTGAAAAAATACCATTTTCTAAGCATTTTATAGATATGTAAATTTTGTCGATTATTTTTTTGATCCACTATTTTGTTTTTGTCATATAGAATAACAAAATAAACAGGACGAGCCTCTGAAATTTATTTTTACATATTTTTAAGAGTAAAACCTTTATAAAGTGTCCAGTCCACATTTTCTCCAAATGCTGAGATTCCTATGATCTAAAACTTTGGATTGCTGAACTTCTCAATTAATCCAAGACATCACCTCACTATCTTGATTATTAAAAATAGACCACTTCTTGCAAAAAAATTCTTTTATTAATGTCAATCTTTCCGTAAGTCGGTGGTCACCTTACGGAAGTTTCACTTCTTATTATTTATTAATTTAAAAAGAAAAAAATTTAATTTAAAAATGCATTTTTTGGAAAACAAAAAATTAATAATAAATAAATTTAAAAAAAAATTAAATAATAAATGCAAAAAAAAGCCAACGAACTGAACTTTTTATTATTTTTACAAAATAAAAATATTAAAAAAATATCACAAGAAAAAAAAATTAACCGTTTTTGAATTTTTTTTAAAAAATGTGGTGATTTTTTTTTAAAATTTTAAAAAAATTAAAAATTATAATGCGAAATTAAATTATGATTGCAATTATAAAATTACTAATAAAGAATTTCCGGCGCGGACTGATCAGACTGAATTCGAGTCGGTCGGATTTACCCACATCCTCTTGGACTCGGGTCGATTAGGAACTTGGATTTAATTTTTTTATTTCGGACCGGACACCCAAATTTTTTTCATATTTTAACGGTAGGCTATTCTGGCCGTCTATCTAGCTTCTTCTAAAACAGCCCCCACCCCCCACACATAGATTCACGTACATGTAAACATCTTTGTGATTCTTACCAAAATATTTATCTAAAATGTACAATCGCAAACCAAAATGGGGTGGGGTGTCCTATTTCAAAATCTTCAAAAATAACGAACCAGGACACGGCCTAAGAATTTATCCGATTTCGTTGAATTGAAATACTTTTCTTTTCAAACAGTCCAACCAATAAAAAAAATTGGACTCGAATCTTTAAAAAAATATATATTTGGTCGGATTGTATAGATTCGGAAATTTTTTATAAATTTTTGCCTAGAAAGGTCGGCCAAGTCTTAATAAATAACTTTATAATAAACTAATGAAATAAAATCGGAAAAAGAGGAAAAGCAATTAGATTAGCATTACATAATGAAAGGAGATGAAGTAATAACGAGAGAAAAAAGTGTCACCGAAACTTAACAAAAATTAAATAATTATGTTAATATTATATTTTTAAAAAATCTGTTTATTATTATTTTTTGTTCAATTTTTGAAATAATCAAGATTAGTGAGTGAGTGGGAGCAGAAAAGGACATAAAATAATAATTTTTTATAAAGTGTGCGACTTTTGTCTAAAGTCATCTTTGATTTAATTTTAACATATGGAATTTTAACATATGGGTAAGTTCAATACACTTTACTTCACTTACATTATAAAATTATATATGTCATCGTCCTATTCTAAATATAGAATCGCGATATTTAAAAAAAATAAAAACAATAAGGGATAATTCCCTTCCCCCTCTTCCAATGATAGTTAAATTCTCAGTGATCTTGGTTCTGTTGAGCATATATATCTTTCGGATAAAAATGATGGTCCATTTTCCAATCATTAATATCAAATATAACACTGTTACATAATAGTGAATGAATCGCTTGTATATTCTACCTTATAATTTTTTTAAAAACGATTCTTGTTAAGACTCAGTATCTTTCTGAAGTAGTTTTTAGCTGGATATTCTTTTTATCCATTCTCGTTTCAACATACTGAATGTAATTAATTATTATTTTGTTTTTAAATAAACTGCTGAGTTAGTTACAAAACAAATAAACAATGTGATAATAAGCAACAAAAAAAATAAATAAATTCTTCTTATAAAGATTTATACGTCATTCTCATCTCATTATGTTATTACATAAGAGATAAGTTATTTTAAACAGAAAATCTTGTCATTTCTTTCTTTCTAATTGTTAATGTTTTGTAAATGTTTCCTTTTCCTATATTTCAAATAAATATTTTTTTTTATAATGTAGTTACCATTTAACATGGATATTATATTAGATTCATCAATCATCACATGAACGGAAATATTTTATAATACAAGATTTAAATTTCTAAAAAATCATTATAAATTATATTTCGTAAATTAAATCTAAGGTTCAGTCCCAATTAATTGTAATGTCATTAAGATAGTAAAAAAAAATTTATTAAAAATGCCAATAATTTTAATCGAATTAGAAGATTTAAAAAAAAACTTCTTATAAAGATTTATACGTCATTCTCATCTCATTATGTTATTACATAAGAGATAATGTTTTTATTAAATTGAAAATATTGTCATTTCTTTCTTTCTAATTGTACTTTCTAATTGTTAATGTTTTGTAAATGTTTCCTTTTTACTATGTTTCAAATAAATAATTTTATTTTATAATGTAGTTATAACATAGATATAATATTAAATTCATCAATCATCACAGGAACGGAAATATTTTATAGTACAAGATTTAAATTTCTAAAAAAATCATATTATAAATTATATTTCGTAAACCTTAATGGTTCAGTCTAAATTAGTTATAATGACATGAAGATTTAAGTAAAATATTAAAAATACCAATAATTTTAATCGAATTAGCAATGGGGGTCGTTTATTTTTAGATAGAAGAGTGCAAAATACAATTTTTAGGATATTTTCAAAAGTTCCATATGACCACTGGGGCATATATAAGCTAATTTTATAAAAATTCATCAGGGCCAGATTGAGACTATCAAATATCGCAACATATAATTAAAGCAAAAAAATGGAGGGATTTGTTGACCAATCATGGTTCTTTTTGGCAATAATTTATATGGATTGGTAAAAAAATGGTCACTTGATTAACACCGACAATAAAATTTTTATTTTGATTTGTAACACTTTTTATAGACAACAATTGTTTTTTGTATCAAAATTATGACAATTTTGTTCGATTATTCCGAATATAATAGGTTAACTCATATAAAAAGACCCCATTTGGCAATTTTCTAAAAATTAATTGGGAGGGAGTAAGATTAATTTTATTATACATAAATATATTATAATTATATAATAATGTATTTAGTTAAGTATAGTTAATATAAAAAAATTGTCATGATGGATAAAATCATCTTCATCATGGATTAAATTTTAATAAATATTTATAAAAAAATCATTATTTCGCTTGAATTTTTTAAAAAAAATGTATTTCTTCCACATGTGTCATATAACAAAAAATAAAAGAAAGTCAGGATGGAAAAGAACGATAAAATAAAGGAATTTAAACGATATTTTTTTTTATATAATAAAACGGAAATTTGCGCAATAAATTCCCATTTATACTTAAATCAAAGTTGTAATATTGCCTTGTCTCGTCACATTTTGCAACGAAAAAAACGTGATGCTTCTTCCTTTTAATTTAATAATATTATACATTTAATTTTTGACTTTCCAAAATAAAATTAGTTGTTATTTATATTATTATTTTATTTTTGATAGGCGCAAATTAGTTTAAATTTAAATTGATTTTGTTTTCCTGCATCACCCTCTATATAAATAATATAAACCTATAAAAATACGAAATAATATAATCGGCATTGCATTATTCGTATTTGTAAAATTCTAATAATTAATTACAGATATCCAAACCTAAACCTTTAACCCGGTAAGGTTATTTTTTATCCGAACCGCTAAAAATGCTTGCAAACCGGTTTGAACCTCATAATTTTATGCTTATGAAATAATGTAAAATTACTAGTATATTGCGAAAATTTTAAATTATATTTAATATGTTCAATATCTTTCAATTTTGATTGATAAGTAAGTATCAGTCACATGTTTCATAAATGTCTGTATATTCTATTTTACAATTTTTTTAAAATAATTTCCTTTTTTAAATTAAAATTTTTACTCAAAAGAGCACATCAATGCTAATGATGTGCTAACATCAATGCTAATGATGTGCTATATACATTCATGCATTAAATGATTTAAAGTGTACATACATAGGAGTCAGCAGACATTAATGTGCATTAATATTCGACATGCAAACCGCAAAACGGCGCTAAGCAGACTCCTTTGTTTGTACATTTTTAATTAGTGAATCGCCAATCTTGTATACAACACCATTGATTAATGACTATGGATAATTTAATCCAATATATAAATTATGCCTATAGTATTACAAATGGTACATCTAAATGTAAAGTTTGAAAGGCCATCATGCTGCAAATATTGAGCGTCACATCAAAAGAAATCATACTATAAAAGCTAATTTTAAATAAAACCTGGAATGCTCATATTTATTTCCCTTTTGTGATGTTAGACTTGCTGAGGTATAAAAACGATATAATAACAAGTTTGTAATATTTATAACTCTTTAGTGAATGTTTCGGAAACTACATAGGACCAGTTCAACAAAGGGACATCCTGGCTAAGACCTATGGAATGTGATGTGGATGGATGTATAAATATATATATTTTTAATATAATTTATATAACGTACAGTAGTCTTGTTAAACTATTTAAGCTGGTTTTTAAAAACGAGGACTCAATATTTTATTCAGAAAAATATTGCCTAAGACTCGAGATTTCGATAATAGATGTCTAAACCTTTTTAACATCTAAGAGCAAAAAATCTTCATGCACGCATTTTTCTGGATAAAATAAATGTTTTAACCGTTTTTAAAAATCGGCTCAAATCGTTCTGTTTAATAATTCTACAAGATTGTTTTTTTGTTCAAATAACAATAACAAATTAAATAAATATTTTAATAAAAAGAGAAAACAATAGCAATTTGATTTCGATGAGATCGTAGTTAGTACCTGCCCCCTCCCCTCCAATTTTTTAATAGCTCTTTAAAAGTTAGGTTACTTAAAAAACATTTGATATAATTTTCGCGGCCCGAATTGCAATTTTTTAATTTTCCTAGGCCCCGTCTGCAATTTTAAAATTAACACCGAGCTTTGGACGATGTTTGCAAGTTTTATGCTATTATCGCCAAGGAAAGAAATTCTATTTATATATTATTCAATTGTTTGGTAGAATCTTCCATCATTTTAAATAATTTTGTCAGTTATTATCTTGTAATTGATTCAAAGGATGGGGGGGAGGGGAAAATGCTGGCTTTATATATATTTTTTTAAATTTATACATTTTGCTTCCTCACCCTCAGGGTCGGGTCTCAGACTTGCAAGTTTTTGATTCGAATTTGCCACAAGGTGATGAAAATAAATAATTAAATTAGAAACGGTTTTAACATTGCTTTTTTCAAATAGATTAATAATTCGCCTAAAGGTTTATGTGTTATATAAATGAGAGATTTGCAAGCCCCAGCCTCGAGAGTGTCGAAAAAGTTTATGTTTAGAAAATTACAAACGCAGACCGATGAACATATAAAAAATTAATAATTAACGTAAAAATCACTATTAGAAGGATTTATAACATTTCATATTTTTTAATTTTCTTTTCTAAAATAATCGTTTATTACTATGTGTAAAATGTTTAAACTCTTGCGTTTTACTTTTAGGATGCCTAACATAAGATAAAAAAATTTCTCCAAGATTTGATTTTTTAGCACGTCTAAATGATACGAGCCAGAGCAATAACTAGTTAGGGGTGGGGGTTAATTAAATAATTACCTTTTCATAATATTATTAAATTTAAAAAAAACAAATTGCTTCTATGTTTTTAGGTCTATTGATGTCATCAATCATCAAAATCTTATTACAAGATAAATTTTATTTTCGGAATGAATTACTATTCTTTTGAAAATATTCTTTTTTAATTGAACAAATTTTTCTCATTATACATTATTAATTTAAGACAAAATCTTATTACAAGATAAATTTTATTTTCGGAATGAATTACTATTCTTTTGAAAATATTCTTTTTTAATTGAACAAATTTTTCTCATTATACATTATTAATTTAAGTAATTTAGGGTTATTTTTATGAAATAACTAAAAGATAAAGTTCATTACCAAAAAAAAACATAATAAATTGAGTAGTAAAAAAAGGTCTTCCTTTTATTCCTTTCCTTTCGCATTCATTAATTCTTTTTTTTACCTTAAGAGTTCACTCCCTTTCATTAAATTATTGCTTAAAAGTCGTGTTCAAAAAAATAAATAATTAAATCCATTTGGGACATGCGGAATCTGATTATATGGGGAAATTTTTACTGATAATTTTAAAATCGAAATAAATTTTGGCATGCGGATGGGGCTCTTATTTATAAGTCGCATAATCAACAATAAACACAATCTTAAAATATTGTTATAAGTACAAAATATTTAAAAAAGTAAATTAAAATCCCGCTTACGCTATAAGGGCTGGTGGGGGGGGGGGGGGTAGCTTTGTAGAACTATGTGTTGGAAACTTAGACCTAAAATGATATTTGAGAACATTTTTTCTAATGGTTCCAAAAAAATGAAAAAGAAGTTCAGTGCTCCAAGATGTGTCGCGGTTCCAGGTAGTTGCACTTTTGATAAGACCGGTTGTGGTATTTTAAAAAGGGTTCTAGATTCTTTCTCCAAGTCCTACATTAGTCCTCCGGTTATAAACTCTGATTCTCATGGTTCTGACTTATGATTTAAACATTATTTTAATTTAATAGTTTATTTACTTTTATAATATGTTGATTCTTCAAGGAATAATAAAGGGATTTAGAAAACTTGATTGAAGAGAATTGCTTCTTTTGAATAAACCTTTTAAAATATAACATAAATGTATTTAATTCTGAAATAAAATATATTATATTTTATACAAAAAAAATTTTTTTATATAATTTTTATAAATTAATATAAATTTAAATTTGATTTTAATTTAAAATAATAAAATTCTGAATATTTATTTAATGTGTATGTACATGTTTTACGAATTAGACATTTTATTTTATTTTTTTTAAATTTGTACTTTTTTTCCTAGAAATAGAAATTGAATTTTAACCCCTTTTATTTATTTTAAGATTTTAATTTTTTTTTTTTATTGACATCATAATTTTTTAAAAAATAAATTTTTTTTTGATCATTTTTTTTTACCGGTCATAATTTTTTTTTTACTTTATATGAATGGCTAGCACACCCCCCTCTCCCTCCAAATATTTTAATTTTAATAAAAAAAAAATATTAATATAATCTAAATTAACTATTATTTATATTATTTTTTTAAGAAAAAATTTGATTTCTTATTGAAAATTTTTTTTTATCCATATATTTCAAAAAAAATATAATATATATTATATTATAGTTGCGATGCAAAATATATATAAAATTAACAATGACTATATTTGATAAACTAGGAGGGAAATGGGAGTGTTTCGAAGAAACATTTGTAGTTCCCCTTTAGGATTTCAAATTGGACTTTTTGTTTAAGAGATAGGGACTCGTTTTTGACCCCTGTCCTTAACGAAATTCTTCTACACCCAATTGATTTAAGAACTTTAGGGATTGGGGACCGGGGTTTCCAAGGACGCTAAAAATAAGGGGAATAAATAAAAAAGAGTTAGGGAGGAATCTATATTTATTAAACTTATTGGTTTCTTGTAGTTCCAAGGAGTCGGTATTTCCGTTAGCCGGAAAGGAGGTAACACAAGAGACGTCCCAGACAAGTCTTTTGCCGCCGTGCCAAGACGTTAAAGACATGCCGTCAGGGCGCTTACCGTCAGCATTTAGGAGACCCAATGGCTCCAAGCTATTGGGGAAACCGGCCGAAATCAAGGCTTTGCCGATTAACCTATTAAGGTTGTCGTGCCTCAGGAAACGGCCACTGACTTTGAGGCACGAGAAACAATGTCTAGAGAAAGGATCAACCTGTTTGTGACAGGCGGCACAGGTGTCCACAGAAGGGATAAGGCAAATGTAAATAATATTTTGGCATTTTTAGGTAAAATTTGATCAAATATTTTTTTTCCTAAAAATAAATTTTATTTAAAAATGCTCGTAAACAAGTTTTCAGATAGATTCATCGAGGGGATCGTAAGAAGAATTTTAAAAAACCAATTAAAAAGTTGTGTCCTTCGGGCTTATTTTTAGGCCCGTGCCCGACGTTACAATTTTTATTTTATGAAAATATTATCTATTTTATTTTTTGCCTAGCTCAATTATCTTTTTAAAAATATCGAGCAGCCGACTTGCAAATATAAACATTTTTCTCAACTCCGGTCATAATATTTTTGTTTGCCCAAAAATAAATTTATAAGACTTTTATTATATGAATTCGTTTTTCTTTATTTAGATCAAAGATTATCGACAATTTTTTTTCCTATCGTTTGTTACCTATTTTCCTAAAATTTTTATTTTCATAATATATTTTTTTTTTCACCATAATTTAAATAATTTTTTTTAAAAAAGATATAAATAAAAACTTTAAATTTACCTATATTAATTATTTTTACTTTTTTTTAAAAAGTTTACAGAAAATTTCGTTAGTCGCTCTTCCTCTTACCTTGTCATAACATAATAAAATTTTGAAGCCGAATTTAGGAATTAATGTTAATAAATTGATTAAATTTGCCTGCTTTTAAAATAGTAGTCAATTTCGTCATAAGAGATAAAAAAAATTCAGCTTGACAAAATAATATTTTTTTGATCATTCTGCCCGGTCATATATATTTTTATTTTTTAAAAAAAAATAAATAAAATTACATAAGCGTTTATTAAAATAAATAATATCTGCTCTGCTCAACATCAAGTAATAATTAATATTTTAAATCGTTCTGCTGGTCAATGGTCATGAGCACAACGAAATAAATTTATACTTTTAATTTGTATTAGTCAAAGATTAATGATAACAAATGCAAACTTTCTCCAAATTTCATATTATATTTAATTTATTAATTTTTTAATCGTCAAATGCTCATCCCAAGAAGTAAAAAAAAATCCACTCAACAAAATAAAGAATTTTTCCTCCTTTTCACAGAAATAAAAAAAAGTTAAAAAATTGTTCAAAATAATATGACATCAATAAAAAGATAAATATTTGTTTATCATTTCATTTTATATTTTTTCCCCTTAATTTTAGCATTTCTGCCTGAATTGTTAATATAAATATTTCTAAGAAAGTGATGTGTTTTTTTTGAATACACAACTTCAAAATTATTATAATATAAATTGAAAAGGTGAAAACATGAGGAATATTAATTTAGGCCGGTTCTAACGGGGGGGGGGGGGAATAGTCAATCTTAAAGGCCAGCTCCAGCTATGTTTGAATTTCCTTTTTAGTATGAATTTTTTCTTTTTATTAAAAAAAATTGGATTTCATTTTCTTTTCCTACGTGTAAAATTAATATAATAGTTCATGCACGACAAAATTGCATGAAATTAAGATGGCCGATACTTTGTTTGAATGTTTGGAATAACGATTCCTTCAAAAATTAGGGGTTTGTTCCCTCGTTATTAATAATTTAGGATTTATTACTAGGTGGGGAGGGTGGTGGCAACTGGCAACTAAATAAACCTATAAAAAACAAAAAAAAATATATAAATAAATGCCTACTTATAATAAATGTTTTAAATTTTTTTAGTCCATGCCCGTATTTCCAAATGGCGATTTCGTTTTAAAAATATATAAACAATAATATATTTATGGTAAAGTAATCGCGTCAAAAGCTATATTTTATAAAATATGAAATCAATGCAAAGACAATATTACATTATTTATTTTTTTGCCATTCAAAGGTGAAAAAAAATCCAAAAATAAATAAAATTTTAAAACAGAAAAAAAATGTAAAGGTATAAAATAAAAATTATGTAATTCCTTACACACTCTCTATTATTTCTTGCTCTATAAATATCGGTCATTTCGATTCTTTTAACATTAAGATATTGATTAAAAAACGATAAATTTGATTTGAAAGGGTGTATAATATGACGGCAATTGTAATATATTTTTAATTTATAAAGGTTAAAAAAAAATGCAAATAAATAAAACTGTTTCGGCATTGCATTTTGATTTGCGCTAAAGTTTAAGAGATCATTCATAAAGATTATGGATTATTAAAAGTCTATAAAGAAATGAAAAAAAAGGTTAATAATAAATATCAGAAAAATATAATATTCCATTAAATTTAAAAACTATGTTACACTTACACATCTTAAATGATTAGGATTTTTTTAAAAAAAATAAGTTAAAAACGGGAAAACGTTAAAAAGTTAAAAGCAAAAAACCGTAAAACATTAAAAGCGGAAACACATAAAAAGCGAAAAATTTCTAAAAGCAGGATCTGGGTACTGTTGTTAAACAGCTCTATTTTTAAAAATGGCTAATATAATATTTTAGTCAAAATTATGTAAGCCTAGAGTATTCATTAATAGATATCCAAACCTTTCTGCCATCTATGAGCAGAGCAAAATCTCCAGGCTTGCATAATTCAATTATTTACAAAACTACCTATTTTGGGGATTTTTGAACTTGAACTTCTAGATTAGCAAAAATTTTAATCATTCGATTTCCCCATTTTCGAGCGATTTTTAAAATTTTGACCATTTTGCGACCCGGATCGAGTTTTTATGTAATTTCAAAGGGAAATTGAAAATATGAGAAAATGCAATGCTAAAATGATATATAATTTTTTCAGCTGGCTAATTTGATATTATCAAAATTTATTTTAGAATCCGGCCCGCCCTAGCCTGGGTTAACTTTTTTTATTTATAGACCTGGCCTCGAGCACTATTAAAATCGTACAATTTTATGGCTAGTATCGTGAATTGCAGATTTTTAAATATTTTTGGCCATTAGATTTGTTTTTACACCTTACAGTATGAAATATTATAATATTTATCATATATTCTTTGTACAAATACTAGCCAGATATCAATTTAAATTAATTTTTAATTCATTAATTTTTTTATATTATTTCATTCAAGAGGTGATCGCCCCCTCCCACAGACACTACTACTTGATATTAGTGTCGATATGATTTTTTAAAATGAAGAGGGGAGTCAGAAGCTTGGTTAATACTCTCTCTCCCTCCATCCCTTACCCTAAATACACCCAATGTATGGCTATATGATTTAATTTATTTAAATTTCAAAAATTAGAAAAGGAAACAATTTTTAATAAATTTTTTTTTAAAAAAAATAAAGATCCAATCAAAAAATAAAATAAGAAATATTAAATTATATCTGAAAAAAAAAATTTATTATAACTTTTTGGTAAGTCGGGTCTCCTTTCTTGATATCACTTAAGATTAGGGAGATAATTTATTAAATAAAAAATAATTTATCCACAAATTTATTCATTTTACTTGGATTTTTTTTTAAAAAAAATTTTGAATAAAGAATCCCCATATTTTAATAATATTTTGTTTCGTTGTGTAATTTAAATGGCTGGCTCTTTTATAGATTATCATATTTATACCCGATATCGCAAATACAATTTATTTATTTTTGAATAATTATTTGAGGGAAATTGATCAAATCAAAAAATAATCTTTTTTGAATAATTATTTGCGCGAAATTAATCAAACTAAAACAAAAAAAAATCTTTGGGAAAAAAGACAAATGGTTCACATTAAAAAAAAAATTATTTTAAATATTTTATAACATTATATAAAAATGGATATTTTTTTAAAAAATAATAAAATTTGATATAATTTATTACAATATTATTATAAAAGTAAATAGTAAATATTGGAGGAATAAAAAAAAATATTGTGAAACCTTGAAAGATGACCACCTTGATAAGGTGACCCTTGTTAGTCCTCCAAAATCCCTTTTTAATCAATTTAAAAAATATTTCCAAAACAGTCTGTAAGTTTTAATATATCCCTGGAACTAGAGTTGTTATAAAGCACGATTCTCGATTACGATTTTAGCCAAAATAATATTATGTAACTGGATTTGTCCATAGATGGCAGGAAGATTTGGACCTCTAGATACCAAATCTCGAGGCCCACATAATATTATTTTGGCTAATATCTTAATTGGTCTTTTAAAAGAATCGACCCGAATCGGGCTTTTTAACAACACTACCTGGAACCTATTTCCTTTCAAACCCGATCCAATTTACTCACTCGATCCGACTAATTTATTTCAAATATTGGAATCCGTCCAAACTCTTATTTTATGAACATTTCCGATCTCACTTTTAAATAGTTCTACTGAGACCCGACTCCTAATAAAATTTTATCCAAATTCTGTCCAAAGAAAAAAAATGTTAAAGTTAAGGTCA